CCCCAAAACCCCAAAACCCCAAAACCCCAAAACCCCATTCTTCAAAAGCCAAATGGATATATAAATAAATTTAAAATGGAGGTCAAAGTTCAATCCCTCAGGAGGAACTCTTGCTGGCAATGGAGATCAAAGAAGATGATTTTGGGATATCTAATCCTTCTTTTCGGGATTATCTCCTATGCAACTGCAAACTTCTCTTCAGAATCTGAGGTAGGCCAAGTTTATCGGTGGTAAATCCAAGCGCAAGATTGTCTTCAGGAATCCATGAATGCTATGAAGACTTGGGATTCAAATGATTCTAGTAGTAAAGGAATCAAATCTAAGGGTGTTTTTGATCTTAGTTTTATACAAAAAATTTAGTATCTGTCAAGATTTCTTTAGAAAAATTTATTTGGTTTTAAAGAAAATATGAAAATATTTTCAAATTCCAAAGGATGACTAAGTCTTTTATTATAGGTTGCTCATAATTCTGAGTTGAGAGATCTTACTCAAGTAACAGAGCAAGAGTTAAAGGATCCTTACACAGCGGATAATGGAAAACTGATGGATAGGAATGAAATTGTTAGAGTGAACAACGATATCGCCCAATCAGCTCAAAAGGATTATTGCATGCACGGAGGAAAAGTCATGCTTGTGTACAAAGATATTTCGTTGTCAAATTCTGGAACTAGTCAATACGATCAGAAGTATCTCTGCACATGCCCTTATAACTATATTGGGATGAGGTGTGAAGAATGTGTCAAAGGATATTATGGTCCTCACTGTCACCCATGTCCAAAACATCCAATTAATAACATCGTGTGTGGAGTTGGAGGAGTATGCGACGATGGTGTAGAGGGAAAAGGAAGATGTTTCTGTAAGAACTCTGATTACGATCCAGAGAACTTTTGTGATACCAAAATAGATAAAGATAACCACCAGAGTGAAGAAATTATTGCATTTGGTTTATTCTTACTTGTGGTGGTTGGATTTTTCGTTACAATCCTGCTTTACATGTACAATAAGATTCACTCTTTAGAAGCTTTCCCTGAAAGCATTGCCGCTATTATTCTTGGTATCGTTGTTGGAATGTTCTTTAAAGCACACTATAAGAATACTGGACTCCTGAATATTCTTGAGTTTGAGCCCCATACCTTCTTTTTGTTTTTATTGCCACCAATCATGTTCCAAGCTGGGTTCTCAATGAGAGCTTCGACATTCTTCAGGAATATCTTTGTGATCAACTCATTTGCTATTTTTGCTACAATTCTGGCTAGTTTCATCTTCTCCTTTATCTTCAGTTATGGAACTAAGTTATTTTCAAATGAGTTTTCTTATCTCGATTCGCTACATTTCGGAAGCTTCATGTCTGCTATTGATCCTGTAGCAACTATTTCCATTTTTAAATGTCTGAATGTAAACGATAAAATCTACATGATTGTGTTTGGAGAAAGTACTCTTAATGATGCAGTAGCCATTGCTCTTGCCCAATCAGTACAAAGAATCAGTGATATGGCAGATCTTGGTCAAGAACTTGCTTTACAAGATTCTGTGTTATTCGCTCTTGAAAAATTTTTGGTATTTTTCTTTGTTTCGATCCTTATCGGAGCAGTTTGGTCGATCTTGATATCTTTGGTTTTCACCTATCTGGATTTGAACACTGTACCATGGATTGAGATCGGCTTTTTCATCCTGACTTCGTATTTCCCATACATTCTGAGTGAAGCTGTAGGATGCTCAGGAATCCTGTCAATCCTGATTTGAGGAATCTTTATGAAGAATTACGCTTTCTTCTCACTAAGCTATTTCGGTATAATAACAATAGAGTACCTTACTGAATGACTGGGGCTTATGTCAGAAAACTTCATCTTCGCTTATCTAGGTATCTCAGTTCCACTTATGATCAATGATGTAAATATTTACTACGTGTTAGTCGGATGTGTAGCACTTGTTGTCTCAAGATTTGTCTCTGTTGTTGTCATAGCACTGTTTGTCAATCCATTCAAAAAAGAAAAGATTCCGTTCTCTCACCAACTGGTCATGACAATGGGAGGATTAAGAGGTGCAGTTGCTTTCTATCTAGCTCTTAATGTTTCTTCAGAATATAAGCACTTGATTATCACAACTACAATTTCCATCATCCTTTTCACAATTATTGGAATGGGGAGTGCTACACCAATCTTTTTAAAATGGTTGGACAAGACTTTCCCAGAAGATGAAATCCTGAACAAAGAAAATGAAGAAGTAGCTCCTCTCATCTCAAATGATGGAAATGGTATCGATCCAAAGAGCTACCAGGTCTCTGACTATAACGCAAGAAAATCCTTAGGAGTCTGGTCCCAAGCTGAAAATATCCAGAAAGACTATGTTCAGACCTTCCTAAGAAGAGAGGGATGGGAAGACAGAATGAAAATGAAAGATACTAAGACTGCAACTGTCTCTAAAGCTCCTCAAGGAAATCCTGCTGACCCGAATTATCATATGGAGGTAGAGCAGGAGAAGAGATTAGTTGATGACCGTGGTGACCTTTCTCCAAATAGAACTAGTCATGCAGTGAATGAAGAAATCAAAAATAGACTATCAAATTCAGTGCAGAGAAAGACAGATGATAGGAATATGATTGATCCAGAAATGAACAGAGGCGTTCCAAGAACTAATTATCACATGGAAGACAGTAATTTTTAATACAAATATTTTATAGACAAGTCTCAGTACGATAATAGAGCAAGAAGGTAATTGCTCATCATAAATTTGTAGAATAAGCGAAATGGAAAAACCTGTGATCCAACCTGCTGATATTGAGCAGCTTCATAAGCAACCAAGTTTCGGAGTGAATAAAGAATCCTCGAAAGAAAAAGATGTAAGAAACTTAAATACCCAATTTCTTCTTTGCTTTATCTTCTCAAATATAAATCTTCTGTAACAGGAATTTATAGGAATACACCCAAGAAAAGATGGTACAAAGTAAAGAAAGCAAAGATCATTAAAAATGGAACATAATTATTCCAACTTGTAGACAAAAAACTCAGCTATTTAGGAATAATTAATTCAGACACTCAACAGTCTGAACATTAATCGGGGTTTTGGGGTTTTGGGGTTTTGGGGTTTTGGGG